GCAACCCTGAAGACTTTCCAAGATGGCTCCAGAGTGTTATTTGGAAACCTGACACTAACATTATTTATCTTCCAAAACAAGTTTTGGCTTGGAGTTCCATGAGTATTCATATTCTATGCCACCTGATGGTTCCACTATATATTAGAAAAGATAGAGAGATAATTGACAAAGAGAAAATTGATTGATGTTTGACAAGATGGATCAGTAAATGCAATATCCAAATTCACCCAGTTGAGTTTAGTGATTTGTTCAGAGTTTGTTTCTTTTTTCTCTCTAAATAAGAAACATAGACAGGGAAACTCTCCTACCAAAATCAGCACAAGTAAAAAAACCCCAAAAAGCAGGAAATGCCACAATTGAAATGGAAGTTAATGAAGAGAACTACAAAAGGACTTACCTCCCTGTCTGAGAAACCATTGGCAAAACTATCACATCTTCCATTTTTGATCAAACATTCTAATGTCAAGGCAAGAGATGTCAAACAAGTCAAAATCAAATCAGTACAAAAAACTTAGTAAGTAGACAGCAAAAATCACATTTTCTAACTGGAACAGTTAGAAAATAATAAAGTGGTCTTTGTCTTAGTGATTGTGTTTCACGTTGAACGTCTTTTCAAGATAACTGTCAGATATGAGTCATACTTAATAAGCGTGCCAAAGATCTTGTCTCAGTGGAGAAATAAAGCACCGTGAAAGATTTAACATCTTACCTTCTACTGCATGAGCTCTTTCTTACAAACATCTGGTTCTTTTATTATTTCATAGCCTCTGAACCCAGTGCATGACATATTAAAATGTAACATTTTGCCCCTTTTCCTACTCGTGGGATTCAAATTTAACAAGAATCCATTTATAATGTAATACTAAAGACTTAAGTTAAATTCCTTGGAAATAAGTTTGTAGAGAGGACGAATAAAACTAAGAGACAAATCCTCTAAGTAGTTTGTGGGGAAATAAACCTGCATTTTTATCATCCGAGGAGCATCAGTTTGTATGCAAATGTAGGGTTTCTAACACTAAATTAGGACAGTACAGTAAGCAATCCGTGTTTAAATCTTCAAAATCATGTGATGAAGTTACGGTATATCTTATCATTGGTGTCCATTACATTGGGTGGAGAACCAATAGCCGTTGTCAGGATTTTGGCCTGCCTCTTGTTTGAAACTAATGAACTCAAAAATACAAGATGATAGGCATTTAGCCAGCTCATTAAACTCTAACTTTTGGCCAAAGGAGAGCACAAATAAGAATCCCATCTGCAAGAACCAATGAAGTGTTATTTCACCAAGAATAGATAAGGATGGATAAGATAATACTCTCAAGATTAGGCTGATTTACTAATCAATCAGGGCAATCAGAAGGCCTGTTCTTGATAAACTCAGTTGACTTTGGAGGAAAGTTCAATCAGTAAATGATTGATCACATAGTTTACATGAATGAACCTAATTCAGAAGATAGAGGAACACCTGACTCAATCCAGTTTACTCAGTCCCAATAAGGTGTGGATCAGAGCTCATCTATCTGTGGTTCTCTCTGTTTTATGAATGTCAGTTTCCAATAGACTCTTTTAAAATGTTGCTAATTGAAGTTCAACAGCAGCTGGAATGCCATGGATTCTCTGGTGTAGACATTATGAGGCCATTTGATTAGCAAAATTTTTATGGATCGCATTCATTGAAGTTATTGTGGGGCTGGGACACATTGGAACAGCTCCCGTGCTATACCGACATGCACACATGGACACAATTACTTTCTCTCTGCTTCATTTCTCACACCCAGTTGAGCCACGTTTATCTTGCTCTTTCTTACAAGCAGTACTAATATGATCATCAGTGAGCCAGTGGTGGGTTGCCCCCGGTTTGGACCGGTTCGCAAGAACTGGGAGTAAAACTGGCGGGAGGCTTCACCCACTGACCCAGACGTCATCATAGGTAATCTGCGCATGCACAGAAGAGCGTGCATGGGCGCGATGCAAACTGGTAGTAAAGGTATGTAGAACCCACCCCTGCAGTGAGCAGCTTTATATATTATTTGATATCACCTATATAGGAAGGAAGCAAGGGCGGATGTCCAAGCAGTGTCCTATTGGACATTTTTTTCAAGGTTCTCTAGAACGGAAATATTTCTATTTCCAGGATGTTAAAGTATAGCACCTTTGCAGACGGAAGAGAGAGTTTCATTGTTGGGTGACAATATGTTCTTTTCATTCCTATGTTCCTCAATGCAAACTGCCATTTGATTGAGTCACAGTGAATCTTGATTCTAAAGGAACAAGAAACTCCTTTCTTTTGCCCTTGAGCACATTATTGGTTCTCATGTATATAGTTGCTGAATGGCTCTATAGTTTAGAATCTCACCATTTCATGATGTAACCGCACTACTCTATTGTGGAAAGATGGGTATTTGAATAGGTCTATACATTTAATTGGGACATTTAATTTAATTTAAATTAAACATTTAATTTAATTGGGATGCAGTGGCTCAGTGGCTAACATGCTGAGCTTGTCGATCGAAAGGTCGGCAGTTCAGCGGTTCGAATCCCTAGTGCCGCGTAACAGGGTGAGCTCCCGTTACTTGTCCCAGCTTCTGTCAACCTAGCAGTTTGAAAGCATGTAAAAAATGCAAGTAGAAAACTAGAGACCACCTTTGGTGGGAAGGTAACAGCGTTCCGTGTGACTTTGGCATTTAGTCATGCCGGCCACATGACCATGGAGACATCTTCAGACAGCACTGGCTCTTTGGCTTTGAAATGGAGATGAGCACCGCCCCCTAGAGTCAGGAACGACTAGCACATATGTGCGAGGGGAACCTTTATCTTTACTGTATACATTTAATTGTATAAATTCATAATGGAAATGCTTCCCCAAAGTACTGCATCGAGAAGAAAAATGCTATTGATCATTTCAAATCCTTTTAAAACTAGCAAATATATCTGCAGAACTTTATAGAACTTTATAGAAGTATTTTGATATCAAGTTGTATTACTCTTCTCATCCTTCCTATTACCTATCTCCTTTCTACTTATGACTATAACCTTGTTGCTTGTATCTTTGCAATTCATATTGTTTTATTTAGTTTCCTAGTATGATTTTGATTGCTTATTTAGTATCTTATGACTATCACTAAGTGTTGTATCTTATGATTTATGATGAATACGTATTTATAATGACTACAATCATGATTATCACTTATATCTTTTATGTACACTGAGAGCTTATGCACTGAAGACAATTTCCTTGTGTGTCCAATCACACTTGGCCAATAATTCTCTTCTCTTCTCCTTCTCTTCTCCTCTCCTCTCCTCTCCTCTCCTCTCCTCTCCTCTCTCTCCTCTCCTCTCCTCTCCTCTCCTCTCCTCTCCTCTCTTTATACAATAATGCAGTGGTGTAAATGCATATGAAAAATGTAGATTACTCCAAAGGGCTGAAAAATTACCCAGTCTTTTTAAAGAAGAGGGACTGGAGAAAAAGGCAGAACAGATTCATATTTTCTGCCTCCTTCATGTCATCCTATGTTCAGGTCAAAATTGAAATGGAAAGAACTACTTTAAAACTGATTCTACAATGGTAGGTATAGGACACACAGAGCTCAATCATGCAGGGACTGATTATTCTAGTTTCTAATGAAGAAATGAAGTATTGAAACTTTTGTTTTCCTTCCAAACAGAATGCTTTGGGGAGAGAAGGCTGCCTGGGTGATTTTAGCTCAGAGGTTTTCAAATGGCTTTTCAGGCCATTTTGTTTTTTTTTAAAAGGGGGTGGGTGGAAATCTGCAACCTCTGATCAAAAGGCAAAGTTCTAGTGATAGAATAGATTTGAACTTTTTCCCTTGTGGTTTCTCATAAAACCCTATCAAATCCTCATTCTTGAAAACACTGCTTTAAACTGAAAGTGTGTCTGTCTTGTGATCATGATACAAAACTCTTCAGAAGAGAGCCTACGTGCCCAGAATCCTAGCTGATTCACATGTGAGAGCTGAACTGTATCATATGTGACCCAATTTGGCTTCTTCTAGAGCAGGGTGTCAAACTGGCGGCCCGCGGGCCAGATGTGTCCCACGCAGGCCACGGCCACTCCAGCTCCGCAAATGGGAAAAATGTCACGAAATGTCACGTGACGGCAACGCGATGTTGTGAGTTTGATGCTGTGTTCTAGAGATTCTTAACCTTGGCAACTTTGAGATGTGTGGGCTTGAAAAAGTGACTTACGACCATTTTTCACACCTATGACCATTGCAACATCACATGATTTACATTTGGATGCTTGATCATTGGTTCATCTTTATGACCGTTGCAGTGTCCCAGGGTCATATGATGACCTTTTGAGAAGCAAGGTAAAATGGAAAAGCCAGATTCACTTAATAACGATGTTGCTAATTTAACAATTGCAGCGATTCACTTAACAAATGTGACAAGAAAAATGGGGCAAAACTCACTCAAATCTCACACTTAGCAACATAAATTTTGGGCTCAGTTGTGATTGTAAGTCGAGGGCTACCTGTATGGTGAAAAAAAGCAGCCTTATTTATGTCCATCTGCCTGGTGAAGTGTAGAAAGTAGCTATAGACGGATACCATTTGTTGGTGGTAATAACAGAGCTAGGTTTTGTGATGATTTGATTTTTTTTTTAAGTTACATGGAAGCAGGGGTGCTATTCAGCAGGTCCTGACAGATTCTGGAGAACCGGTAGCAGAAATTTTCAGTAGTTCGGAGAACTGGCAAATACCACCTCTGGCTGGCCCCAGAGTGGGGTGGGAATGGGGATTTTGCAGTATCCTTCCCCTGGAGTGGGGTGGGAATGGAGATTTTGCAGTATTCTTCTCCTGCCATGCCCACCAAGCCATGCCCACAGAACTGGTAGTAAAAATAATTTGAATTCCACCACTGCATGGAAGCTATCGAATTTTTCTACACAATTTCAGTTTAATTTTTAAAGAATCATTTATCACTTCATATTTTGAGGATAATTGAACAAGGAAGAAATCAGTCTTTATTCTCAGAAGTGTAGTTATTTTTTAACTTTTATTATTTAAATATACTGTACATGTTCAACCTATTTTTTTTTTAAAAAAACAACAATAACCACAAAACACACATACCGTGCACATCCTTTTTTTTTTTAGAAATTATGATCAGATTGTCTCAGATTTATGATGAGTATAGAAAGACATTTTACATCTACCCATAAACTCTCTAGCACAAGTCCCTTTAAAATGAGTTATATCAGTGCTTGGATTTGTTTCAAACAATATTTCACATTGAGAAATTCCTTGTACATGCGCTCAATATTGGGACAATATTACTCTGGAAAACTGCAGCAAAGAACTGCTATAGTGGGCACATTAACTTTGCAGGATTTTTGAAATTATTTTAAAAACGCTCAAGCATCAGTGAAATAGCTACGAACGTCTGCTGAGAGGTCTTCAAAAACCCAAGGCAGACTCTGAATACATTTAGTCATTCCTTGTCAGTTTTTTTCCCTCCAAATTACCTTATTTTCAACCTTTTCAATTATTTTACCTGTTCGAAAGAAGGATGACCCCTAAGCTCTAAAAATCTGCTTTCATTAATGTACTGCATTTTCAGCACATGTAATTCTCATTTTAGAGGCAAATGATTTAAGAGAGAGAGAGAGAGGGAAAAAAATTCTTTTCCTTTCAGGAAAATACATCAATAGCTCAATTTATTAGGGACTTTGTTACATTCTGCACAGTAAAAGCAAATTTAAACCAGAAAAAAAAATTGATTCTTTTTCCTTCTCTAATAAACATCAAAGACATTTGGAAAGAAAAGTATAGACATTTTTATAAGGAGAGCAACATTGTTAACCTCCCACTTTGTATATCTTTACATCTGTTCACCTTAATTTTTATGTTTTATTAATAAATATTTTTATACCCAATCTTTTTTTTCCCCACAAGAAGCTTTTCTACAGATTTTTGAAGTCCTGTAATTATGAATGTTTACACATCTTCCCTTCCCCCAAACCAATGCTTGTTTGTACCACATCGACTCTTCTGGAGAGTGGTCATCCAATCCTTCCTTTGTCAACCAAACATTTATTTTTTGTTGTGGGTGGTCCACCATGCCTTGTCAGTTGCAATTATCACTTTGAAAACAAAACAAAACAACAAAGGTAACACAAGGAAAGCTTTTTCCCCTAATAGGACAAGCCTTTCATTATGCAGCCATGATAGGGACCGTCATGATCTCCAAATCGAACTCTTGGTAGTTTTACAGAGAGTAAAGCATTTTTGTTCAACTGCAAGAAAAAATATTTTAGCCCAGCCTTTCCCAGTCTGGTGCAACTCTTGTTTTCTGGGAGCTGTATTTCACTGTATCAGGCAGGGAAAGGTGACTTCTGCCAAATACTGTTTTGCCCATGTGACTCGAAGCAGAAGTCAGTCGGCAACATCTAGTGAAAGCGGGGGGGGGGGGGGGGGGCGAGCTGCGCAAGACAATTATTCCACCATCTCATGTTTCTTGGGGCCGCTTGCATAAGGGAACACCCAGGCAAAGCATTTTGTATTTAAGGCTAAGCAACTGCAGTCTGAACATTTTGCAAGGCCAGATCCATCCTAGGATAGGTGTCAGGCAGTGGTGGTATTCAGCCGGTTCTATCCGGTTCGGGCTAATCGGTAGTGGCGGCTGCAGGAGGCTCCGCCCATCCACCTGGATGTCATCACGCCCCGTTTTTGATGCACTGCGCAGGCACAGAAAGCCCTACACATGCGCGGAGGTGATATTTGTGAACTGGTAATGAAGGTAAGTGAATACTACCCCTGGTGTCAGGTCTAAATAAGGATGATTGGCATAAGGTAATCTCCCCCTCCCCTCCCCCCACACAATAATCTCTAGGTAGATTGATTTCAATTTTGAGACTTCCCAGCCACAAACAGGCTGGTGGAGAATCCTGGGATTTGAAATCCACCTTTCCAGAATGCACGTAGATTGAGGAAAGCTGGCAAATGGGCTGCACAGAACAATTTAAATATAATCCTTCGAATAATATTGAATCATAGATAAAAGATGAGGTTGAGATGAGAATATGATATAGTACAGACACTGCCATGCACATATGCAAGGAAGTTTAGTTGGACTGTGTTTTATCTTTATTACATTATATTTTATATTTATTACTCATCAAATTTCCTTGTTCTACAGGGAGTAGACTATTTGTAGACTTAGTGACTATTTGAAATTCTGACGCATCTAACTGGGAGTACTTATTGGATATGAAGTTCTGACAGTTGTCCCTTCACCCCGCCTGCCCCTGTCATGTGACCTCACTATGGGCATTTGCCAACCAGGCTGCATCTATGCACATCACTGCATTTTACAATGTTTTTGCAGAAATTAGCATTTACGTCCATTTTTTGGCAAAACCACGCCCATAGCAACTGCAGCGTTCACTTAACAACCACAGATTTGCTTATGCCATCCATAAGAAAGGTAATAAAATCAGGTCGGTCACATTTTACGGCCGTCACGAGTTACGTTCATGATGGGCAAGCTCCATTATGGTCCTAAGTTAAGGACTACCTGTACAAACTTTATACCAATCTATATTACACTCTGGAATAATTTCCCCACTGGTCAGTTTTAGTTGATTTTTCAGGGAATTGGAGAATGGAAAAGAGTACAATAAAAATCACCAATATGATCAACACTGTACAATTATGCATTATTTCAAAAAGAACCCAATTTGTAAAGCATCTGTACCAAACTACTATTTCCAAACATTTTAAACCCATTCTTTTTGTGAGATAAAAAAAAAAAAAACTAAAGAAAAATAACCTGCAGTATCAATATACTTAGCCCCTTAAAGTATTTTGAATATTAATATTCATTAAACAACAAACTACATTTGCTCTTCACTATAGACACTGCAAAGAAGACATAAGCATTTCTTCATTTATTTAGTGGGATACACTGTGAAGAGAGTGCTACGTGCTGGTTGGATGTACAGTTTCTACTTAACTTGCTCTAACAAAATGAATCTTGTTATGGTTATATTGATCCATAGTTCTCTAATGTTAAAGAGAAAAATAAAATAAAACAAACAAATAAAACTCATATAATTTTTTTTTCAGACTGAAAGAAGTTGATATGATGTTTAAGTGAAGACTGCATTATTCAGTGTAAGCTATGAAAAAAGAACCCTCCATTAAAATTATGCCCAATATTACACTTTAGGGCAGGGGTGTCAAACTCGATTTCATTGAGGGCTGCCTCAGAGTTGTGTTTGACTTCAGGGGGCTGGCATGGATATGGCAGGATGGGCATGGCCAGCTCAATGTCACTCGTGTCGGGGGTGCCGGTGGTGGCCGAAGTGCTTTGCCAGCGAAAACAGGCTCCCGAGCTCCGTTTTCAGCTGCGACAGCCTCCTGCAACCCTCTGCCCTCTGGCAGAGGCACTACGAGCTGGTCCTTCGCTGTTTCCAGGGCAGCCCTGTGGGCCAGATCTAAGCACCCCATGGGCCGGATCCAGTCCCAGGCCTTGAGTTTGACACCCCTGCTTTAGAGCCATAGCTTATATTTTGATAGACGAAGAAAGATGTTGCTTGTAGATCGGCTCTTAAGAGTTATATACACATAAGAAAAATAGTGGCTGCAATCCTCAAATAATTTATACCAGATCCATTCTCATCAATATAGTTATAGTAGACTATGCTAAAATGGCCAGGAATGGCTGTATGATCATCACAGTCCATTTCGGACCTTAAATATTCACCCCAAGATGACAAGGCATTTCTTTGGGACTCACACTGACAAGAGATCGCATTGTGGAGCCTTTTCTAGATCGTGCACCCTTAATCCACAGAAATCAAATAAGTAATCCTAGTTGGAGCTAGGATTACTCATTTGAATATATAATACACAAAAGCCTAGCCTCTAAACATTAAAGTAGGAATGATCGATTTCTCAGCCTAGGAAGCAATGTCTAATTTTTTCCCCTAGTGGCCAAGGGATGTAGTGGGTGGGCCAAGATTGAAATGATGTCACAGAAGAATTGGAGCAAGAGTTGGACTTCTCTTTTGTTTTTGAAATCTCTTCTCCCACTTTTATTGGTGGACCATGGCTGAGAGTTAATGTAGCAGGATTGTAATGGTAGTAAGTACATGCTGTTTGGTATTTTCTCCCTAAGAAGCTCCAGAAATTGTACAAAAGGAACATGGAGCATAGGAATATGTGATTCGTGGATTATCCACTCCTGTATTAAAAATTAACAGCAAGTAATGACCAAAATAAAAAGGGAACAGCCACTTGTTTTGAACAATACAATCCCAATATTCTTCTTTCAGGGTTTTTTTTTTTTTTTTACATTTTGCATGGAAAGTTTTTCAGCACCATCAATTGAGAGGCTACTTCTCAAACTTTTTAATTCAAAGCTCCCGGGAATACAGCTGACAATCAGCACACCTAAGTAAAAGTGAATGCTCACATCTGATGTTCAGCCAATTCTTTATCTTCAATTAAAGTGTTATTCTCATTTGGTAAGATTTTAGTAGACCCAAGTACAGACATCTTAAACTGATATGCTCAAGAACATTGGACAGCCTTCAACACTACATAGGAGCAGCATGGATAGCACATGATTTCAGTCATAACAGGAAAATGTACATTTTCCTGCAAAGAGATAAAAGGGGTTTAGTCTTAATCTTCGGGGGTTTATGGAATAGGCTTTTGCATTGGGTTTGATAGCGTAACTAAAATGCAATTTCCGTTCCCTTCTGCAACTCCTATGCATTATTTGAAACTATCCTGAATTGAACTGTATTTACAGTAGATTAAGAATGCAATTTTCAACACCATGTATTTCAGGGCTGTTTTCTGAAACAGACTGCAGTTAAAGGAATGGCTTTTTCTATGTATTTTTTTTGGGTGTGGTGATGTAAACAAATAGCTGCTCAGATGTTATCAGCTCAATATACTTAATTCAATGTCTTTCTGAAAAGAAATTGCATTAGTATAAACAGCTTTTCTCATCCTCAGCAATGTTAAGATTTGAATTCTGGGAATTAAAGTCCACACATTTTAAAGCAGCTGAAATAAAAAAAAAACCACTGGTATAACATGTGGCCATATATAGTTATGACTCATTTTTTTTTAAAAAAAAGAATAATTATGATTCAATTTCAATACCTTTGAGGTCAGGCATTAAATGATATTTGAATAGCCAAATAAATTCTGCCCACTTCAAAACAGCAGCAAAATTCTGTAGATGATGCTTTATAGGAAGTTTTGGATCTGTGAGGGAAGCAGTAATCAAAGATGTTGATAAAATGCACACAGATCCTGTTGATGAATTTCCATTCATTTCTGATCCTATCGATTTTAAGTGCAAATCTTAAAAGACAAGGTTTAAGGGGGGGGACACAACTGAACACAATCTACAATCCTATATTTTTCCTTTGTGTTGTTCTTCCTGTATTTATGGAAATTTGGGCAAGGTTTCAAGGTTTGACTTTGTCAATCTTGCAAAGAATATAGATAGCAGGAAAAGAACCATTATGCAAGAGGAAGCAACTAAGAAAATCCTTCAAACAATCAAAAAAAAAAAAGAGAAGAAAGATATTTAACATCCTATTAAATAAATAACTTAGGGAGAAATACAAAGGCATGGCGTTAGCATACAAAGAGATGGGGAATCATACTATTTATTTTGTTAGAACAACTTTAATATGCTTATATTTCTTAATCCTATTCATCTCTTCCATATGAGACCGTTCCAAAAAATCTTTTCTTCTTTCTGCATATGACCCATGTGCTTACAGTAAATGCTTAACTGTTCATTGGATCATTAGGCTTGAATGAAGTTCTTTTGATTTGAGTTAGTATTCCATAAATAACTTTCCCCAACATCGCCCCATACATTGTCTCATATCCTTTCAGTTCTACCGGCAAGATAAAAAAATAATAATCATAATTTGCTTGCCCTGGAAAAAGCTCTGATTCCATTTGATCCAGCTTGTGTCTTGATTATAGGATATGACATGTAACTAATTAGAGGTACTTCATAATTCAACAGAGAGTAGAAAACCTTCCCCTTTTCCGTCAAACAGACGTCTGCTCTGTTTTTGCCTTTGCCTTCTGAGAGGAGTACAAGGTATTCCTGACAAAATCTTTGGTTCAGCTGCTATCAGTAGAAGAAGTCCTTCATCTGTGGGTCAACTAACATGGGAAGAAAATGAGCAGTAGTGTTTTTCCGCCTGGTTCTCTGTCCTTTCCTTGTCCCACCTTTTCCATTCAAAGCCACAAACATTTGCTTTCCATTATTTTTCCAGGAGAACGAGGCATACGTATTGTATCCATTTTCTTCTATCCTTTCCTTTAGTTTGCAATCGTTGTTAAACTCTTTCTGTATGAAAAGAAAAAAAACACAGAGAGAGATACAAACACAGACAACATCAGAAGGTGAGGAGGTGAAGACCGCTAAGTACAATAAAAAGAAAGAGATAATTCTGAGGTATGTTTAGAACTGATTTTTATACGTATGCTGCAGTGGTGGGATTCAAAATTTTTTTTACTACTGGTTCTGTGGGCATGGCTTGGTGGGCGTGGCAGGGGAAGGATACTGTAAAATCTCCATTCCCTCCCCACTCCAGGAGAAGGTTTCTGCAAAATCCCCATTTCCTCCTGATCAGCTGGGACTCGGGAGGCAGAGAATAGATGGGGGCAGGGCCAGTCAGAGGTGGTATTTACCGGTTCTCCGAACTACTCAAAAATTCCGCTACTGGTTCCCCAGAACTGGTCAGAACCTGCTGAATACCACCTCTGATATGGTGTCTGTCCTTTCTGTAGGGTTATGTCCCTCCATTCACCATTAAGGCTTAAACCACAGCGTAGATGTCAAAAGCACAGAGAGCTAGAGATGGTCATCAAAGTATCCAAGCAAACATTTATTTTATGGCCCAACATGCTTCAGACCAAAAGGTCCATTTTAAAGGTCAAATATCCTGTTTGCCAGAGTGGACATTGCCCATAAATGGTAAGTTTCTTTTGCCTCCGAAAAGGGATCTCCAGATCAGGAGTGAAATCCAGCAGGTTCTGACAGGTTCTGGAGAACCGGTAGTGGAAATTTTGAGCAGTTTGGAGAACTGGTAGTGGAAAGTTTGAGTAGTTTGGAGAACTGGCAAATGCCATCTCTGGCTAGCCCCAGGAGTGGGGAGGGAATGGGGATTGTGCAGTAGCCTTCCCCTGCCATACCCACCAAGCCATGCCCACCAAGCCACAGCCACAGAACCGGTAGTAAAAAAAATTGGATTTCACCACTGCTTCAGACCCAATTGTCAAAGCTCACAATAAACCTTTCTTGGACATTTCCTCTTTTCCCTTGTTTGTATCATTCTTGCTTGATAAACAGATATGACAAATAAGCAGGGCACATGTTCAAATAAGGCAATTTGCCTAGCCACTGAGTTTCAAACATTAGTGGTTCAGCATACAGTCTCATTGTGCTGTGAAGCAGCAGCAACAGCAGTAACAGCAGCAACGTGTCGAAGAAGTTCGAAGTAAAATGTGTGCAAACTCATGGCACATCTGCCTGGAATGTACAGGCAGCATTTCATAGATCTAGCTTTTCTAAGTGACATTTAGCTTGCATGTTTTGCTTGATTTAAAGCAAGATCAGGCAACCCTAGATATCTGTTAATCACAATTAACATACAGTAGATAGGTGGACTAAGACCTGAGAAAGAGGAAGGGAGGGGTAGGGGTGGGGTAGGGGGAGAGAGAGAGGGAGAGGAAGGGAGGGGTAGGGGTGGGGTAGGGGGAGAGAGAGAGGGAGAGGAAGGGAGGGAGAGGGAGGGAGGGAGAGACATGCAAGGTGAATCCCAAGCTGTGGTCCTTGAATAACAAATATATGCTTTTATTTCTATAATGAAGAAACACCACTAATCTCTTTCTCTCTCTTCACATATTTTATGCTCACTTTTTAGCATGCACAATAAACATACTAAGCCCTGGAGTTTCTTAAGCCACCTTTAAAAGTAGACAAGTTAAAACTCTTCAAAAACAATGAAAAAAGCACAGGTATGATTGCTCTTCTCTAATCGTTACTCAACCTGAAGCTCACTTTTATCATAGGGTTTTATATCCATTTAGACTCTACAATCATTATAGTTATGCTTTATACTTTTTCAAATAATTGGGAACCTGAAGAGGATTGCCTGACAACGGAACTATAGTAACATAATCAGTGAGGTTTGCTCCCTGTTTATATATAATAACTTGCCTTGCAAGTCCTTTAGGTACAGAAACGAATGTATATGTATATATATAGTATGTATATGTATATACAATATATAGCACAAACAGAAGATGCTAGATACGAGAAAGTGAAATGTACTTACAGATCCATAGACTTTGCCATTCTTATTCATGGCAAGATAATAATTGCTGTTAATGGATTTAACAGCCACCACTCCAATTTCCACTGATGTTATTTCCAATATGCCTACAATACAAGAGCAGATAAAAAAAAAAATCAGACATACACAGATCAAGATCTAAGACTTTGGAGCTAACAAAGAAAAGATTGAGGGAAACCAAGATAAACTTTTTTTTTGTACAATAGGATCAAGAACTACTCAAATCCTTTTAATTTCCAAAACAAGCAGGCAATGAGCCCCAGAAACTATTATGGCATGGATTTACATGAACATTGTTTTAATTATCAACTTTCCTTTCCTTCTCTCTGCCTTTCAAACTCCTTAACTAGTGAAACAGCTCAACTCTTCTTAGTACAGATTTTCACTGAGATTTATCAAAAGAGACATCTAAACCACAATATTGAATAAAATTTATAGCATATGTCAATAGAATAACAGATTCATCGTGATAGGCAGAAACAGTGGTAAGCACTTTATTCCTTATAGGATATTTAGATAAAATTAAATGTCTTGGCTGCACCTTATGTTTTTTGCAAGTATATTTTAGAATATGGCTGAGCTAAATCTGATACTTCAATTGTCTTGTCCTCTTAAATACCATAAAACACCTGTTTCGTTTTCAGTAAAATATGTTCACCTCTTTTCTCTATAGAGTTTCTCCTCTGTGGACCATGGATGTCTTTGGCTCTTTCTCTATCCCCCCACGTCTCGCAAACTAGGTAAGCAATCTTATTTTTATTTTATGATAATATTAACAACAACTTAACTTCAAATCTTGGCCAGGTGACATATTTCAAATTGTTTATATACCCCCTACTTCTTCTAGTACAGTGATGGTTAACCTTTTTGGTGCCGAGTGTCCAAAGTGTACATGTGCCCGGACCCCCAAAATGCAATGTGAGCAGCCCCCCCGTACATGCGCCCTTGGCCCCCCCGGACCCCAATCCAGGTTGGCGCATGAGGCCTTCCAGGCCCAAAACAGGGTATGTGGGGGCATGTGAACCTTCAAAATGCAATGCAAGCACCCCCCTGTGCTTGCGCCCCGCCCCCCACGCATGCGCAACAGAGACCCGAAGATCAGCTGGCCGGTGGGAGGCATGCATGCATGCGCGGTGGAGTTGGGCTGGGGCGACGGCTGGCGTGCCAGGCGACACGGCACCACATGCCACTTCGGGCACTTGTGCCATAGGTTTGCCATCATGGTTCTAGTATGACAGCATATTTTAATTTGTCATATAGTTTGTGTAATTTTGTTTTGTTATATTAGCCGGTCGTCGACTGCAATAAATGTTAAACTGAAAAGGCAGACTGAGTCTGCTTCCCTATCTACTGAATGCATCATTATAAGCAGATATCCTGGAAAATGATTGTCCCAGGAGTACATAATATATTTGGTAGTTGAGGCTTATACTCACCATTTCACTGGCATCTGCCGGTCATATTTTAAAAAGTAGGTGGAGAGAGCTCAGAGAAATGGACTTTTGAATAATTTTAATGGAACGTAAACCATATTAATTATATTCAATTAAATGAATTACTGGTACTCTCTATTCATGCTGAAAACTACAATTCAGTGCCAACTTTTGGAGAGATTCTTCAGGCCCCTCCCAAATTTACTGGGGGCCAAGTGTAGCAGAGTAACCTGTCCAAACTAAGCATCTATTTACAAGTACATCATTTATTTGGCTCATAAAGACTGTATCTATCAAGTGTGAGGGAAATCAGGAGATTCAGGCAGTTCAAATGAATATAATGATTTATTGCAAGCTTAAGGTCTCTACAAGAATCCGAACTATTAACAGTCAAGGGAAATTAGCGGGAGTTAAGAAGGAATTCAAGGTGGGATGGACTTTGATCTCTTGTGGGCGCACAGGGACTCATGACTGATAATGTGTTTAACTCCCTTCCTCAGGCTCAGCCTGGTCATCTCCTACAGGCTGTTTGAACTGTTGTGCATAATAGCTTAATATCCCAAACTAGGGTTTTAGCAATGTAGGGTTAATCTACATTGGTGATACAAGTAAAAAAAAAAAAAGCATATTGTGAGGACAGCTGAATGAATTGCTGTACAGTTGTATAAATGGAGCTGAAGCAAATAGCTGTTTAGGTGGCACAAGTAGGGCCATGGAAAATATATTAAACAAACAAACAAACAAACACACAAATAAGTCATTATTGCTCTGGCCCCCACAACATGCTTAACTGGATCACTGGAAGGTTTACTGACACTGTTAAATTTAGCTCTAAACAGATCCAGTCTTGGGTAGGCAGAAATAATTTTCCTCTTACTTTTTCTTGAAAATTGTTCCTTCAGGGGTAACTATCATTGAACTCTATTGAGATTGAAATGAAGTGATGAGCAATGTTGGTTTGGTTTTTCACCCTTTCCCTGGCCGTACAGGGGGATGAAAAACGAGTACAACATACAACCACAACTGAGTCCAACATTTCCATTACTAAGCAAGACAGTTGTTGAGTGAATTTTGCTCCATTTTATGACCTTTCTTCATACAGTTGTTAAGAGAATCACTGCAGTTGTTAAGTTAGTAACACCCAGTTGTTAAGCGAATCTGACTTCCCAATTGATTTTATGTGTCACTAAAGAGGATCATGTGACATGACCCTGAGAGACTGCAACTGTCATAAATACCTGTCAGTTGCCAAGCATCTGAATTTTGATCATGTGACCAAGAGGGATGCTGCAACGGTCGTAAATGTGAAAAAAAGCCTTAAGTCACTTTTTTCAGTGCAGTTGTAACTTCAAATTATCACTCAAAAAATGACTGTAAGTTATGGACTACTTGTAGAAATGAAAGGTAGGTGAGACCACACACAAATCTTTTAGCTGTGCTACAGATTAAAATTGCTCTACCTTGGATTTTGTTTTCTTAAATATTTTTAGTTCTGGTGCAGGAACAGAAAGGAAATGGAAAAGAAAGAGGAAGATATCAGAAAGACAAGCGGTTGGAGAAAAAAATGCCAAAAATGACCATTGCCACTCACACTCTTCTCTCTCTAACTGTGCATGCATGATAGGAAATGTAGTGATGGAAGAGAATATAGAGTATGTGATGGGAACATGTCTCTTTCACTTAGTAGCATTTGAGTAAAGTCATAATACAACAGTTATAATTGATAATTTTTAGAAAAATCCCGAGGTTCAGGATCGTCTATGTCTAATTTCAGAATATGTAAGTCAAAAGCAGTGCTTTGTCTGTTGTATAAATCTGGAAATATATTGGGGATATTATTATTGTGCAGCAGAGGTGTCAAACTCAAGGCCCATGGGCCAGATCTGGCCCTTGGGGTGCTTAGATCTGGCCCGTGGGGCCGTCCTGGAAACAGCAAAGGAGCAGACCGTGGTGCCTCTGCCAGTGAAAACGGAGCTGGAGAGGGCTGCATACGGCCCTCCCGATCTCCATTTTCATTGGCAGAAGGTTGCAGGAGGCCATCCCAGACGAAAACGGAGATTGGGAACCCGTTTTCGCTGGCAGAGCGCTTGGGCCACCACAGGCACCCCTGACACGAGTGATGTCAAGCTGGCCACACCCACCCTGGCCATGTCCACCCCAGCCCCCCAAGGTCAAACACAACCCTGTTGTGGCCCTCAATGAAATCGAGTTTGATACCCCTGTTGTACAGTATTAATTGTGTGCAATTCAGTCGTAGCAATTCATATAGGAATTAATTCTCATTTCACTTACTTCTTCAGTTGCATCCATTCAGGGCCCAATAATATATTACCCCAATATTGTAATACAATGAGAAGCAAAGGAAGTAAACAAAAATCAAACTGATTTTCAGTTTGATTTTTGTTTTCAGTAACATTTTGTGTAGCTTTCATAATGACAACAGATGTGGGATGCAGTTCTCTTCTTCAATAATAAATCATCCATTTTGTCAGACATAAGCAATTAATGCAATCCACATGAATAGGGTCAGGCAAAACAATTTTCTTTTCCCTTCTGCCACAAGATTTGTGAATTCTTTACCATGCCTAGCATCTGATTAGTCTACCATATTTAATAGGCTACAATATAAGCAATAAAATGCTCATAAATAACAATCCCTTTTGCTCCAAAACTTTACTGGTCATCTAATGTGACATTGCCATTCCCAGTCAACATTATGTTCCTTGTTCTCTGCACTGTTGGAACACTGTTGGAGTTTGGGACAATTCCCCCCACCCTTTTAAAAATATAATCAGTAATGATATAGTAGTACAAGCTTCTCCTATAACAGTTTCTATACAATCTTCCAACTTGATAACGGCAACAGATGTATCTGGCTCCTTTTTTTTCTATTCCCATAGTTGCCTTTCAGATGGAAAGAACTGAAAGCTGCTCATGCACATGTGATCTTTGACTGTTCTGTAGTAACTGATACTCAATGACAGATTGTCCCTGAATGTGACAGTCCCATAATCCACTTAAAGATGCATTGTGCATGAAATTTTCTTCTTTTAAGTCTATTTAAGCTAATGATCATTTCCACATCTGGTGATAGTGAACTCCAGGAAGTAATCATGTGCAATATTTTCTTTTGTCCAATAATTGTTGACCATTAAATTCTTGGAGAAAGGGCAAGATACGGAAGTGAGAACTAAATAAATACAATCTGCTCTGAGTTTTCTAGTTGGAATCAGTTGGAACTGTTTTTTCCAGGAAGGATCTCACGCAAAATCAACTGTAAAGCTAATGCTTTCTTCTCCTGGAAATGTCACATTTATGCCAGGGGTGGGCTTCAAAAATTTTAGCAAGGGGTTCTCTGCCCGGTTGCTGGATGGGTGTGGCCATGGTTGGGCATGGCCTAGTCAGCCTCCTGCACCATGGCCGGGGGGGCGGGGTTGCCTCCCTGGGCTCTGGAAGCTTTCCTTGACTTTCTGGGAGGGCAAAAACGGCCTCCCCAGGCTCTGGACGCCATCTGGAAGCCAGAAATGGGCCCATTTCTGGCCTTCTCAAACTTCTGGTAGGCCCATTTTTCACCCTCCCCAAGCCTCCGTGTGCACCCTGCACTTACCTGCATCCAAAACAGGCCGTGTGGGGACTTCTGGGAGGGGTGGGGT